TTATTTGTAAGAAGTAAGTGAATAAATAAATGATTAATAAACGCCGGTCTGTATTCAAACAGTTTATTACATCAATAATTTTGTATTTAGTATCGTATGCATGGTTAAACTTGGCGATTGTTGGGGGTAAAATTTATCAAGTTGCACCGTGCTACATCTTACTAAAGTCCAGTATCTTCTGGGCGTTTCTTGCTGTGTGTAAAATGACTAGTTGCTGGCACCGTTTGATTAGTCACGTTCAGGTGTGAAGTATTCCATCCTTTACCTTGTTTACTTTGTTCGGGATGATGCTATTTGTGTGAACAGCTGTAGTGGTAGAATGGATACAACTCGTCATTCTACTCATTTAGTGGTCTTCATGAGTTAAAGTTTACGTGTGACGGCTCGTTGCGAAAAAGAATCTTTGCGATATTTTAAACAACTTTAAATCACTCTTGTAAATGACTGCAAAGCGATATGTTTTCTCCAAACTTTTACATGTCATATTTTCAGTACGTGAAAGTTGCACAGAAACTTCTGGCAGTCTGCGAAAGCGAAGTGTCTAAAACTAAAACTGCTAAAGAAATCCCAGAAGCAGAAGATGCCGAAAACTTAGTTGACAATGATTCATTATTATGAATGTGTTGTTTTTATGTATTAAGCTTTATTTTTGACGTTGAGATACGTATCTCTGTAACGCTGTTATATGTTTAGATTATTAAACCATTTTATTTGACGCCCGTTTGATTTCTAATGTTGTAACTCAATTGATTCTTAGCTGTTTTCGCTTAGGTGCTTGTGGTGATCGATGCTTCTCTTATTTGTGGCATATATTTCTTTATGTGATTTGAATGTTGCGGATGAAGTTTAGTTTTTGGAAGCTGAGTTGATTAGGAAAATGGACATCTTACTTGTTCGGGCGAGTGCAGTAATCTGCCAACTATGCCATTCTGTAATGATAAAGAAATAACTGTGCAAAGTTATGTCTCCTTAAGTTACAGTATGCATTTAGACTTTAACTTTTTGTCATGAGTGCTCGATATTGACTGGACGATTGCGATATGAATACTGTGACGAAGTTAAACAATCTTCAGGAAAGCGTTTGGAGTTTTTTCATCCGCCCGTGTTTCCTACCCGAGAGATCGGAATTGCACTGGTTTAATCACGTGGTCAAAAAGCTATTCGCAGGATTGGTTCTCTTGTGAAAGCTGTAGCTTGAGATGTGCAAGACAGAAGCTGAGACCCGTTGTACGTAGCTGTTGTAGTTTTAGCGACGAGCAGTCATGTAATGCTGATGCTCTTTCACTTTGCAAGTGTATTTTAAAGTTCGGAAATGAGTGATGGCAAAACACTTTTAATGTTAATCATAGTTCACATATTTTTGCGCTCGGAAGATGCACAAACTGTGCTTTGGTGAATGAAGTCGAAAGCGAGTTACTCTGATAACTTACTTTCATTTGGATTCGACTGACAACGAGCTAAAAAATTGTTAACCATTTAAAATTTTCTAGGCAGTGCGTTAAATGACGATGATGAACGTTGGTTGATGGCTGATGCCGATGGGATATCTTTCGACGAATCAGCCACAGGATCCGCTCTTTCCGTTACCAGTTTTTTTTTGGGGGGGAAGGCAATTATTTCTACATACGGAGGTACCAAGGAGGCTTAACCTGATTGACAAGAAGCAGCACAGGATCGAAATGATCCATAATCGATTGATATATTCAAGAAGAAACATTTCCACTAATCATACAAGCTAAAGAATTGAAGTGTTCGGCACTCAACTTTAGACATTCGCTCTGGTCTAAATACCAGTTTGATGTTCATGAAAGCTAATATAAATATTTGAACAACCCGAGCTGAAACTGTACCTTTTACGGCCCCATATACACACTAGTTCGTCTATATCGCTTTATCACGGCAAATCTGAAAAGCACTAAGTTAAGCAGTTTATTCACTTGCCGAACGTCATGGGTTTAGCTTATGCGTATTTACTAGCGAAAGAAGGATGAACAGGGGTTCCATATCTCAGTAGTAGATATCTAATTGAAGAGTGAACAAGCAGCCAGTGTTGAGATATCTGAAGATCCGATCGTTTCTGCTTTAGTGTTCCCATACTTCACATCCAAGAGGAAATGAAGAACTGCCAGAAATCTGTCGACAAGAAGAATTGCCGTTAAGTCTGCTGGCACCTATCAATGTTATGGCAATTAGAATACTTCAGAGATCGTTAAGCAGTCGGGGGAGGGGACAGCATGAAGTTCAGGACTTGAAAAATGCTTTGTTATGCTGGCACATGGTAACCATTGGTCGTTTTCATTTACTCAGTTCTTGTAGCTTTCGATGTAATTCCTCACAGTCTTTCAATCATGTTCCAAGCTCACGAGAGGACACGTCATCCAAGGATCATCAGTCGTGGTAACTCTACAAACCTTTCGGAATGGAAGACCGGATTATAACGGTTGGATGTCACTTCAGCTGAGAGCGGAGTGTAGAATGAATTTCATGCCGTAGCCGATCTTAATAAAGAACTAAGCAAGAAGGCAGACAGTCTCTCGTCGACTTATTGGTTTCCTGTGTTGGACAAGGACAATAACCTTTACAAAAAGAGGCAATAAAAAATGCTGTCGGATCGTCGTTAATGTCAACATAGAAAACTTGGAAATGCGGCCGTTTGTAATCGAGGTCGAAGAAAGTCGGTGACCGCCAAATGAGAAGATCGGCAACCTTTGCAGCACTTGGTGCTCGTCCATCAACATGTCCCATAGGTTTGCGGATACTATTGTTTAGCTCCCTCCCATGCACCCACTCACCATAGTAATGCTGCTGTAGTGACAGTGGACAGCTGTTCCGTTTAAAATTACACTTAGCTGGTGTCCGAGTCGAGCAACGAGCCTTCTACATATGAAAACCAGTAAGAAAGTTAGTTTTCCGTTAAAGAAAAGGATTTATATAATGTGCGTTATTCCAACATTACGGTTTAATGGAGAGTCTTTGAGGTTTAATGGAGGAATTGAGGATGTTTTTGCAATTGTAGGTTTTATGGTGCATCTCCGGCCTCCGTTTTAACGATGCAACTTTGAACTTTTGTAATGACAACACCACAGTATACATGTGTAGTCATGAATTTTCGAAATCCATGATTGCGAATTCGCCATTTTCCGATATGCTTTGTTTGTACCGGATGTTTGTAACCATCGAACATGCTGCGCAATACTCGCCCTCGCCGAATGTCTTAATGAGTCTTGTGTTTTGCGCGTCAAGATTGAACAACCGCTTCGTGGTGTATTTTACTGGTTTTTTTTTAATTTGAAATCTCGCACTTTAAATACCACGTTTGCTCTTTTATCTCACTCCTCTGCATCCGTCGCCTTTGATACGTATGAGTAGCATTGGTGAGGTTCGTCAGATTTTGCAACGACTGGTGGAGTGTTTCCGCGAGCTGCCTGTCGAGCAGTTGTCAGCCGCGATCGACCTCGTTCGAGGTAACCTCGAGAGCATGCGAGCAATTCTGAAAGAGAAAGTCAGCAACGACGCCTTTGACTCAGTGACCCTGATGGCGGAAGGGATGATAAAGGTTAGAAATTGCACCTGATCTGTGTTGCAGTGTCGACCTTACTCTTTGTTACGTTTGTTTGCAGGAAGCTTATTACGACTTCTTAGAATGCGGAAGTCCCACGAACTCCGCTGTCTCGCCGAAGACACCGATGCTGTCCCCGTTATACCCGCCGTCGCTTTCTCTGCACTCCGAAGACTGTGACCTGTCGTTGGATGTGTCGGCCTTCAGCTCTGCAGCGGGGGTCGAAGAACGTACGGAAAATATGGTTCTTGACCTGCTTGAACAGCGTCTTACAAGCCAGAGCCAACCGTGTGATCGCGAAGAGACAAGCGTGCTCATGTCTCTAATGGACGCTGACTCACTGCCTCACGATTCACCCTCCTCAAACTTCACCAAAAACTTTCAAGCATTACCTCCAGACGTTGGACAGCCAACCGCCGTTTCTGCCCCTACTCCAAGTCACAACGCCGTGTACGTGTGTGAAATCTGTGGTTTCACCAGCCGCCATCGACAGAGCTTGTACCGGCACCGGAAGCTGCATAGTGGAGAGGGAGACGAACGCCGCTTTTCTTGTGCCTTTTGTGCAAAGCGCTTCAAAACGTCCTCGGCTCTGCATGAACATCACTCGTACGTACATACAAAAGTGCGGAAGTTCGTTTGTCCATTGTGTTCTCAGGCGTTCATCGAACGGAAAGACGTCAATCGTCATGTTAAGGTGCATTCGTGCAGAATGCGCTGAGTTCGAAACACTTCCAGAAGATCAGCTGCTCGCATCTGGTTGCCCTGGAAAAAAAAACAAATTGCCCTGCCGACCGTAAATCAGAAATCGAGGACGTGAGTTAAATGAAAATGAACCTTAGGAAAGTTCAGTCGAATTACTTGATACAACCAGTTTTAAAACTGCGCCAAGTCAAGTAGCATTTCTGGGGTGATATTCTATTTTGTTTATTCAGGTTTCGTTTTTCAGGTAAATCTTTCAATGCCAGTTTCGTTGAATTTTTTTTTTGATTTTAATTTTAAAAACTATAAAACCTTTGTTATCGTATTGTTGTACAATATCTCATCGATGAACGCGTTTTCAGATTTTATTGAAGTTTAAAAGTTTAAAGGTCCAACTTTCTGTTTGATCATTAATTCCTCTGCAATTCCGTGACAGCACATACTGCTGGTGATTGTCTGGTCGAAGTGATCGAAGCGAAATCACTGTCGGTGATGGACTGACTCTTTTAGAGCATCACCATCAGCTATTTTCAAACCGTTGCTGAAAGAACGCTTCTCGAAGACTTTGCCGTAAACTACTTTATTCTGCGATTGTTATCTAACTTGATTCAATGAATTTCTTCAACATATCCTGCCATTGGTATCCTGATCATTTCAAGATATCACCAGAGAAACTGTATAGAAGAATCCAACAGCTGGACGACTTGAGCATCAAAGTCGAAGGCTGAAGATGAACCTGAAGAAAACTCATGACATGCTTGACAAATACGTGCGCGTACGACCTACTGAAGTCAGTAAGCTTAGGCTTGAAATGTGAAAATGACGTCTATCTGGGACAGCTTGTCTCTGTAGCTGACAACCGACTATTTTTGGAAGACTGAAAATGTTCCTATCCGGCAAACTACCCCTGTGATTCAAGCGGAAAGTATTCGATCGGTAAATGTTCCTAATACGAACCTATGGATACGAAACGTAGGCCCTACCTCTCAAAGATATTCTTGAGCTGCAGATTGCGCAGTGCAGCATGGGAAGATTATCGTTGAGAATGGCAAAAGCAGAAAGGGGGAACAAGAGTCTGCCGTGCCATTGACGAGTGAAAGTTAAAATGGCAGTGGACAGAACACGCTGTAAGAAAATCTCACCATCGCTGAACCGGAAATGCAGTAGAGTGGGTTCCAAGAAAGTTAATGGTTGGTAGACCGAATTCCAGGTCGATGGCAGGATGAACGGAAGAAGTTTGCTGCATCAGAATGACAGAAAATGGATATATAAAAACTGTAGACAACAGAAGTCAGTGGCAAGGCTTTGGAGAAGCCTTCATCCGTCAGTGGATCGAAAAAGGCTGATGGTGATGATCCTGCTATCGATGTGGAGATTTCCATATGGACTGTTTATTCTCGCTTGGAACCCATTCTAATGTATCTCTTGTTCAGCGGTAGTCGGTTCTTACAACATGTCTTGTCCGTTACCACTTTAGCTTCTTCGCTAAGGTCAAGACATCGCAGATTCTTGTGCTTTTCTCCATTGGTTCACGTTGCTATTTCTTATTCCCACCCGTTCGTCATTTCCTTGCGAAGTTCGCAATCGAATGGCTTACTGATTTAGTGTCCTCGTTTCGCATCGATGGGTTAGCTCTGTGGGCATAAACTGATCGAAAATTTCCCTTGCCAGTCACCGGAGGCAGTTTTCCAATTAGGAATCCCCTTTTCAGTCTTCCATGCCAGTTTCGTTCTTCTGTTGATTTCAAAGACTGGTTATGCGTCGCAGATGTGTGCTCTCAAATAGACGTAGTTTTGCATTTCTTCAACCGTAAGTTCAT